AAGCCCCCCCGGCGCCAGCTGCTGGACGCGACAATAAGCGCCTACATCAACACCACCCACTCCCGGCTCACCCACATCAGCCCACGGCACTACGGGGAGTTCATCGAGTTCCTCAGCAAGGCCAGGGAGACCTTCCTCCTGGCACAGGACGGGCACATACAGTTCGCCCAGTTCATTGACAATCTCAAACAAATCTACAAAGGCAAGAAAAAACTGATGCTGCTGGTGCGGGAACGGTTTGGGTGAGCCCCGGCCCCTGCCACGCTCACTGGCAGGGGGCAGCCGCAGCATGGGGACTCGGGAGAGAAGAAGGAAGGAAAGCGGAGATCGCCTTCCCCCATTGGCAGAGGCTGCTCTTTTCTGGTCTTCTGTTTCTTTTTTCCGTTTGTTTTCTTTGTTTTCTTTTTCTTTTTTTAAAATTTTTTATGTTTCTCTTTCTTGGATTTAACCATTTCACTCACTGAGAAGATCCAGAGATTCCTTGGGCACAAACCAAAAGGCAACCACGGGGAAAAGGATGGTTCGCTCAGCCCCCTGCCCTCCCTTGCCAATACCAAAAGCTAACCTGGAAATCTAATACCTCTTTCCTGAAGGAAGCGGTCGCTGGAGGGATCTGAAGGTTGCAAAGTGCAAAAATCTTTAAAAATACATGGGGAATTTAAAAAAAAAAAAAAGGCAAGCAAAGAAACCCACAACACTAGAACCTCATGCGTCACCAAAAGCGATGGCTTTGCAGAGCGCTGCTCCCGCCCGCCCGAGACATGCAAACTCCTCTATTTGTGAAGATGCTTCAATAAAAACAAGTTAAAGTAACTGTTCTCAGGGATTGCTTACTAAAAGTAACACAAAAAAAAAAAAAAAAGCATTTATGATACTGTAAATACTATAGTATATGTGTCAATTATTAAATTGTAAAGTTATAATTATTTATAATTCTGTCTTTTATTTGGGGGATACTTGAAATTGTTGTGGGCTGGGGCGATTATTTTTATTATTGCTATTATTATTATTATTATTATAACTATTATTTAAAAAAACCACAAAACAAAACCACAGACAAAAAAAGAGGAGGAGGAGGCACGCGAACATTTCTCAGGTTCCCACAGCATCGTCGGCAGCAAGAAGGGTGTGGGGAGAGGCGAACATCCGCTCAACTCGCAGCCCTGGGACAGATGGACGGACAGATGGACAGAGGAGCAGCAGCCCAGTGCTTGAGGACGGGG